TATCATACATATGTGAAATGTTACTGTACAAATTACGTTCTGAGGGCCTCTGGCTTCTCTGCTGTGTTCCAAGTAGATGGCCAAAGATGACCTCCTTTTAGGAAATGTAAGGGACAGAACAAAGGACACCTACGGATGACTGGCGTTGTCATTAAAACACTAACATTAGCCAATGTTTAGTAAACCCTTACCATGTGCTAGGTACTTTGCTTCATGTGTTATGTCATTTAATCCCCACAACAACTCTACGAAGTGGGTGCTGTCTCACGGTCGTACACCTGTAAAAACTGGAATTAAGGACCTGAAGAAACACACCCAGGCACCAGTTCCCCGAGGGCTGCTGGGGGCATTTCCATCTCAGGGCCCACCCACGGCCTCTGTTGCGCCACAGAGAAGATACCCAGTATCTGCCTCATCAAACCATTCCGTCTTGCGGTGGTTTCAATCAAGACAGGAAATGTTTTTACACAGAAAGACATTTTTTTCTTTAAGAACTTTATAAGTCATCCTAAGGTCATTCTTTCCATTTTACTCATCTTATCTATTTATTGATTAACACGGATAAAGGAAGAAGGGTCCCCCACTGATCCATCACCCAGCTCTCAGGTCTGGTCCCGAGGAAGGATGTTTTACAGTTCAGGGCTTCTCCCACACACACAAGCCTGGTGATGGACACACAGCTCAGGGCTTCTCCCCCACACACAAGCCTGGTGATGGACACACAGCTCAGGGCTTCTCCCACACACAAGCCTGGTGATGGACACACAGCTCAGGGCTTCTCCCACACACACAAGCCTGGTGATGGACACACAGCTCAGGGCTTCTCCCAGACACACAAGCCTGGTGATGGACACACAGCTCAGGGCTTCTCCCACACACACAAGCCTGGTGATGGACACACAGCTCAGGGCTTCTCTGCCCCACACAAGCCTGGTGATGGACATGATGTCGTGGACCCATCAGAGTTCTCTCCTCAGTAGCTTCTTCAGTCCTTCATGCATCTTGGACATTTTTCTAGTGTCATTTCCTTTTTCACTTACATTCTTTCTTTAATAAGGATTTTGGGAGCAAGTTTTCTCAGTGGTAGTTTATCTGAAAATGTCTTTATTTTTGCTTTTGAAATTTAGTTCTGTGGGTACACAATTATAGGATGACATATATTTTTTTTTTAGCAATTTGGAACTATCAGTCGGCTGTCTTCTGGTTTCTGTTATTACTGTTGTTGAGAAGTCCTTTGTCAGTCTAAATTTCACCCTTTGCAGCTAGTCCATCTTTTCTTTCTGGCTCTTTTTTTTTCTTAGCTTTAGCTGACCTGCAGCTTGATGGCAATGTGTCCAAATGCAGATTTCCATCTTCGTTTGTTTTTTAATCCCAGTTGGGATTCACAGGGCTTCATGAACTTGAGGATCCATGCCCTTCAGCAGTTCTAGACAGCTGTCTGTCACACTTGCTTTGTGTTAGGTGCCTATTTGTCTATTAATTTTATCTCTAAAGCTTTTGTGGGTCTAGTACTCTTTCCCATTTTTGCTGAATTTCACACATAGTGGCTAATTTCTCTCTCTCTGTGGGTGTGGGCATGGGTGTATGTGTGTGTTAATGAGTTCATATTTGTTGGAAGTCTATCTGTGAGTTTTCTTCGAGGGAGGATTTGTATTTGCTCCTTCCCAGTACCTCGAATATTTATTTTTGGTGTATTGATTTTCATATTATTTAAATTACTTATTGTTTTGTTTTGTTTCTGTGAATTGCTTTTTATATGTGAGGAAAGAAGTTAAGCCACATCCTTAAGGCACGAGCCTGTATGCTCCACTCGCAGGTGAAACAGATACTGGTCATCAAGCATCTTTACATCCATCTCACACAGCCTTTTGATTCCACTTTTTAGCTTTTTTAATTGCAATTAACATACATACAGAAGAATTCACATATCCTAAGTGTACAGCTTGTGAATTTTTACAAGCAGAATTTGGTCATGGAGTAAGTGGTCTTATCAAGAAACAGAACCTTACAATTTCTCAGAAATCCCAAAGTGCCCTCTTCCAGTCATTACCCAGCCCCTTCCAAAGGTAACCACATAACCACTACCTGACTTCTCTCTCTCAGCTTTGTTGAAAAGAAAGAGAAATGTACAATAGATAGGGAGATGGGTAGGTAGAAAGATGATAGATCTCACAATAAGTCTTTACATTTTCTTCATTATCATATTATGAATAGTGAAAGATAATTTCAACTTTAAAACAATTCACAGGGGATTTCTAAACTAAACAATAGACTTTAAAATTCAGCCTCATGACCCTGAGAACTGGGAGATTGTTTTTTCTTGGTGTGGCACCAGGATATTTGCTCCTCCTTTCAGCCGTCTATTTCTAAAATCGAGCGCAGGATAAAAACAAAATCTCATTTAAGTAAAATTCTGGCATTATCCATTATAACTTGTTGAAAAGAAACACTTTTAATTTTAACCTTTCAAAGAAAACATGGTGACAGATATATGAAAACATAGCAACACATTTTTCACTGAGTTTGAGGACATGATGTGAGATGATTTTTACAAGTTTATTTGAAGGCCATGTAGTCTCATAGAGAACACAAAAGTGATGTCTTCTGGAAAACGTGGGGTTATTTTATATCTAATTTGCAGAAATGATTATTTATGGCATGTTCTTTAATTAGAACTGATACAGCTACAAGACTTGTGCTAATCTATTGGTGCTATTTTGATGGAAAATAGAAAGTTTTCTCTTCCTTCTCAACAAAGCCAGTCTGCATTGTTGCAAAAGTCCCTCAGATTGCTAAGATATTTTTGTACAAAAAGCAAAAGACGAAATAGCTAAGAGTCTCTAGCATTACAATCTAGGATTGTGGCTGAGTTCTACCAAAGATTAGATATGTCATTTGGGGTTAACTGCATAATATGTGGCTCAAGTCTTTATCCGTAACGTAAGGTTATAGTAAATAGCTCAGGGTTGTAGTGAAACATAAAGTACAAGTATGCATGCCATTTAGTACAGTGCCCAGAACATCAGCCCTCATACACTGACTTCTGGCAGCTTAGAATAACTTTATTGTTTTTTTAATCAGATAGTGTCCACTGTTTTGAGCCTGCCTTTCTCTGTCAAGTCTGCATTATGCTTCTGAACNGCCCTCATACACTGACTTCTGGCAGCTTAGAATAACTTTATTGTTTTTTTTAATCAGATAGTGTCCACTGTTTTGAGCCTGCCTTTTTCTATCAAGTCTGCATTATGCTTCTGAACTTCAACCATGTTACTGCATGCTTGTAGCAATCATTTGTTCATTTTCATTGATGTATGGATTTCAATAAGCAACTTACTTACCTATTGTACTGCTAATGAGTATTCCAGTTGGGGGAGATTACAGATGGTACTACTGTGAACATGGTCTTCCCACCACGTCTTTTGGTAATCATATGCATGTATTTCTGTTGAGCATGCACCTAGAAGTGGAGTTGCTGGGCCATATGGTATCCACAAGTGCCAGTTTTCCAACCAAGGTACACCCGTTGATGTAAAGGACTGTTTTTCACTCTAGTCATATTTTTAGGTGTGGTAAAACTGGGAGGTTTCAGTTCTCTATTTTGTTTTACGTGTGACATGTTTAGACTATGTACTCTGGATATTGATTACTCCACTGTCAGAATCCTTGTGCCTTGCGGTGACAGGTCTGTTTTGGGCTAGGGCTCAATGACACTTAGAAGGGGGTGGTTTGAATGTTATCTAGGCCTCACTGCACACAGGAAAAAGGCGAATCTTCTTTCTCTTGCCTATTGACTCTGCAAAGCTTTCTGTGAATGTCCCAATCAGATAAATCATTGAGAGCACCAAGGGGCCTCACTAGAAAGGAAGGTAGGCAGAAGCATTTCTCTACCCCACCCACTGTGGAGAGATTGGATTCTCTATTCCTATGTGAACTGTAACGTCAAACCTTTACATATAACGTCAAACCTTTACATATAAAAAAACCCACTAACCTGATAAACACTAAACTGATGATCACACGATTTTAACCAGAACTGAGAACATTCTGCCCCTATTTCACAAAGCTGTCTGAAAGATAAAATGAGTTGACTCACAAAGGAAGCAAAGGAAAAACAGGAGAGATAGTGTTATCTAATTCTAGATGGAGGTTCAGTAAGCTGCCATAGTTTAAAATACTTTACCAAGTTTCTGGTGACAGTATTTTATTGGCTAATAAGCTGATTTTGAAAATGCCTTATACTTAGAATGCATATGAAATTGAAAATTTGAAATCATACAACTGTATAGGTTAGCATACACTCAAATGCCTTTCCTGACTACAAACGAATCTATGAATTTGCCTTTTTTTTTATTAGCTCTTAAAATGACTCTTCAACTTGAATTTTGTGTTCTTAGATCATGTCCAGTGAGAAATGTAATTTCCCCTGAATCTAGCATTCCTTGGATAGTTCTTATTTGCAGTAGGTAAAATATGTCAGCTTGATTTCATTTATTGAAGTCAATTAGATCTTTTTCCCTTTATAAATAGCTTTATTATAGTTTAACGCATTTTTATATCTCTAATAAATGAAATAAAAGAAGATTGTTTCAAAATCATGATGTATCTTTTAAACATCTAAATTATTCTCCATCTTTTATTACAGAAACAAAGGCATTTTAAAAAGAGATGGCAATCTCTGTGAAGATAGAGTTGTGTGTATCTGTGTCTGCACCAATCTCCTGAGTTTCACGGCAGAAAACAAACTGGGGACCACACCCTCTGAAGGACTGATCCTTGAAGGGTCTTCCTCAGCATCCTGTGATGATAAACACACGGACGTCTGCTCATCGGAATCGACTGGCCACGCGAGCTAACGGCCAGGGGCCTGGATTCTGACCTCCTTCCGTCGCCATCTGTGTGAAAAGTGATCCACGTCCATTCTTTAAAGGCATTAATGGGTTAATCAGAACTTTTGGCAGGAAAATTGAAGAACCTTCATAAAAGAGAGTTAGATGTTGAGGACAAACGGAACGAGGCGAGACTCGCTCTGCTGTTGAGCCCCTAAGATCCGATGCACCTGCCGGGTTAGTAAGAAGACAATGAACAACACGTGTATCGATGAGCAGCACGACCTGGACCACTATTTGTTCCCGATTGTTTACATCTTCGTGGTGCTGGTCAGCATTCCCGCCAACATCGGGTCTCTCTGTGTGTCTTTCCTGCAAGCAAAGAGAGAGAACGAGCTGGGGATTTATCTCTTCAGCCTGTCGCTGTCGGACCTGCTGTACGCGCTCACCCTCCCCCTGTGGATCGATTACACTTGGAACCGCGACAACTGGACCTTCTCGGCCGCCTTGTGCAAGGGCTGTGCTTTCTTCATGCACGTGAACTTCTACAGCAGCACGGCCTTCCTCACCTGCATCGCCGTGGACCGGTACCTGGCCGTGGTCTACCCGCTCAAGTTTTTTTTCCTCAGGACAAGAAGGTTCGCCTTCCTGGTCAGCCTGTCCATCTGGGTGGCGGAATCCATCTTCAACGCTATCATTCTGTTTGAAGACGAGACGTCCACGGAATATTGCAACGCCAAGAAGTCCAATTTTACCCTGTGCTACGACAAGTACCCTCTGGAGACGTGGCAAATTAAGTTCAACCTGTTTCGGACGTGCACGGGCTACGCCATACCTTTGGCGGTCATGCTGATCTGCAACCAGAAAGTTTACCAGGCGGTGCGGCGTAACCAGGCCACGGAGAGCGGCGAGAAGAAAAGGATCGTGAAGCTGCTTGCGGGCATCACGCTGACCTTCGTCCTGTGCTTCACCCCCTTCCACCTGATGCTGCTGCTCCGCAGCATTTTAGACCCGATCCTCGACCACAGGTACGGGAAACACACTTACAAAATGTACAGAATCACGGTTGCGCTGACGAGTTTAAACTGCGTTGCCGATCCCATCCTGTACTGTTTTGTAACCGAAGCAGGAAGATCTGACATGTGGACTATATTCAAAATCTGCACTGGCAAGCTTCATAGATCACAGAGACAAAGAAAAAGCATACTTTCTATGTCTACGAAAGATACCGTGGAGTTAGACACCCTGGAATAGAACCAAGGAATTTTTTTTTAAGTACATAATATTATAGCTTCGAGGTTATAGTTTTGAAAAGGAAACCTAGCATGGGAGGGAATTAAGTTATCCAGTTCAACGAATATTTTAATATCCTCTCCAATGAAAATATTTTATAAGTGCACTGTACAGCTCTCTGACTTTTCTTAAATGAATATTAAACAAAATTTAATATTTTCCTAATGACTCGGGATCCTTATTGTCGATGGTAATTGTTTTTGTATCTGTGCTATATGAACAGGTTAGTAAGACATGCAGGACTGTGTGTCTTTAATTTGGTGACCTTTATGTCTGGTTTTTATGATTTTTCTCACTTTCTGTAGATTTCAGGCCGCCAGCTATAACTTCTCCCAACTGTACATACTTGTCTCCAACAACCCCTACTACAAAATACTGCTCCTAATCGTCTCCCTTAGTACTGAGTATTTATTGAACCCACTCTGTGTACTCATGTTCCAGGAAAGTGTCCCATGACTGTGTGTACATAAGAGTACTCCTTGCTTGGAGGCCATGTGTGCATTCTCTATTCTTTGCATTTTCCTGGTCATAAAGTTTTTAGAGAATTAATAAATTGTGTCAGGGCACTCAGAGAAACACAGATGCTGAAAAACTGAAGATATTCCACTAAAATGAAGAGTAACTAAAATGGGCCCTGGCCGGGTAGCTCAGTTGTTTAGAGCATCATCTGATGCTCCGAGGTTTCGGGTTCAATCCCCATTAGGGCGCATGCAAGAATCAACCAATGAATGCATAAATAAGTGGAACAACAAATCAGTGTTTCTCTCACACACAAATCAATTAAAAAAAAGAGTAGCTAAAATAATTTAGGCTGTTTGATTAATTATTGATAAATTATTGTTAGCTTGTGAGTTGAATACGTGTAAAAGTGTTGTCTTGTCCAAGGTCACAAGACTTCCCAAGAATCCTGACTTCCCTCCAGGGTTGCTTTGCCCCTTTTCTTTATTTATTTACTTTTAAATATTTCTACTATTTCTTTTTTAGGCATGCTATAGACATATGCATAAAGAGCATTCAGGATAGTCACTGAAGTTTTGGTCATGAAGAGAGTAAAAGGAGAGTTGGTTCATTAATACCTCTGGGAATATGACATATCATATAGACCTTAATCAAACTGTTACAGAGAACTGATTAAGATTTTCTCTCAGCCCTGGGTGGGTGCCTCAGTTGGTTGGAGCATAGTCCCATTTACCGAAAGGTTGTGGGTTCAATTACCGGTCAGGGCACACGCCTAGGTTACAGGTTCAATCCCTGGTCGGGGCACATATGGGAGGCGGCCGATTGATGTTTCTCTTGCGCACCGATCTCTCTTTCTCTCTCTTTTCCTCTCTCTAAATCAATGGGAACATATCCTTGGGTGAAGATTTTTTTAAAAAAGATTTTATCTCAGTTATATGAAGAGACATAGCAAATACATGTGTGGCACCTTTAATAAGAATGTTCTACCTAATGTTTAACAGTAAAACTAGTGACTTAGGATGTTGTGAGATGAGTTTCAAAGTTTACCAGGCTGCTGAAGCCTCTGAGCACCCTGTCCCTCCTATCAGAGCAGGGCCAATCCCAGGAAATCCATGCTGGGAGGGTGCTCAGACGGCTTAGAGCACAGCCTCTAGGCCTGATCCAAAATCATCTACACTCCCAAAATTGGGAAGTGAATCCTTTAGTTCTGAAAGGCTTTTTAGGCTCTTGATTAAAATTCTCTATTAAACTGCAAGAGTTCTGGAAGGAATGAGACCTTGCAGCTTTCATCACCTGGCACCTTGTTGTCAGAAGACCTATGTTGGAACACTACCGATCCACTTGCTTTTCACAAGTAGATGTAAAAACGCTTTGTAAATTTTGATGAGATTTCTTAATGTTCATTATTATTCTTCTCATCTTGATCAGGATCAGTGGATGGCTACCCAAGAGACAGGGAAGTCCCTGGAGGAATTGTGGGCTGGAGGGAGCTGGCTCTAGCACGCACTGCTCTCGTTACTTCCTCCAGGTGGTTAAATACACCCACTAAGGTGCCTTACGGGCCTTATCGTTCCTGGGCCTGTGGGACAGCCTCAATATGCCTGCTCGTAGGAGTTCACAGTTCCAAGGAGACAGGCTCAGGGCACTATCATAAAGGCACAGGTAAATATCTGTTTTTAACTTGTTTAATTTTTTTTTATTTTTTTTTTCTTATTAAGAATGTTTTCTTTAACTGAACGAACTCAATTAGACCTCTGGGTAGGAGAAGGGACTGAGTACAGATATTTAAAACCTCCATGTTCCCTACCTAGTCTGGGGAAGCTTCGTGGGTGAAGAACTTGAAACCCATCCAAGGCAACCACCTCCTCCGGCTCATCTCACACGGCATCACCTCCCCAGGAGCATCCCCAACAAATCTGCCTCCCCAACCTCACTTATTCTTTTTTCTCTTTTCAATTTAAGCTAGAAGCTCCTATCCAAGACCTTATATTTCTATTCTTTTATGCCATGATCAAATAAACAATTATTCACCCATTGCCTCTGTTGACCTTGTGAACTTAATTTATTTTTAAACAGCCATACCAGTTCTAAAATAGAATGTGTGATGCATAGCATAGAAGCATCTCTTTCTGCAACACTTTTATCTTGCCCAGGTTTCTGTTTGCCAATCATCACTGTCATCGTTCTGCCACTTAATGCATAAGGTCCCTGATCTTTTCTGGCTAAACCCATCCACAGGTTGCTATGGAAACATAACAGCTACGATAACACCGGGCCCCAGGAAGGCCTTGGTGATAAGACTTCTTTGTCTAGGTCCATCAGGTGACTCTGCGGTGGATCAGAAGGCTGTTCTTCCAACAGGCACCCCCCAGGCAAATACATATTCACAGACACACACACAAGCAACCTGCCCCATCTCACAAAAACAAACAAACAATCCCTAGTCTCTCTGAGCACGTGCTCATACTGCTTTGTAGGAGACCTAATGCCAGCTAGTAGCACACACATCACCCTGTAACTACTGAAAGGGTTCGCTTTCCTTGTTTACTGCCTCAGCAGCAGGGGGCCGTAGCTGTGCTAAGGTTGNTAATGCCAGCTAGTAGCACACACATCACCCTGTAACTACTGAAAGGGTTCTCTTTCCTTGTTTACTGCCTCAGCAGGGGGCCGTAGCTGTGCTAAGGTTGTCCCTCCCCAGCTTCCCTCCCTCTTTTCTGCCCCGGCCAAAACTGGCTGCCAAAGGAGCTGTGGTAAGAAAACGTCTAATTTTATTTTTTTTTTAATTCCTCTACTAATCCTGGAAAAATCCAGTTCTGACTGAGATATTTTATTTACATCTCCTGGGTAGACGCCTTTGGGGGAAACAACAGAAGGTTAATTTAACAGAAAGCAACAATGTCTTGTTGGGTTTTTTTCATAGTGTAAACCCCTGATTCAATTCAAGTAAAAACATTTTTTTTACCGCTATTTTTTTTCTTGGGCGTTTCATACAGGTTAAAGATGGATCGCAAAGTGATCAAGTTCGTGTTATTAGCTGCACTCGCTGAATGCCCCTCGTTTGCAGAAATAAGCAGACAATGGCAAAATCGAGTAATTGGGTGAAGGGGAAGTGATGGGGGGGTTAAGATTCCTCTTCTCCAGAGATCCTTTTCTTACTGTATTATTTGTTGCTGGCCAAGAAAAATCACACAGGGACCCTGTCTGTGGCCACTAGGTGTCGATCAAGTTCTATTTGGAACTTGGAAGTTCATGGCCAAATGCCACCCTCCAAGAGCAAAGAGGAGCTTAGGATGAGATTCTTCTACCCAAGAAACAATTTAGAAATTACCTCCTATGAACTGGAAATGAAAGGGGAGAGATGCTGGAATTCAGTTTGCATTATTCATTTCTCTGCTCTCTGGAAAGCTCAGTAACAATCATCAGATAATTTCACTTGCTTTAAACTCCATATGTCATTTCAGTGCCTTTTTATTCAGCCTGTTAAAATCAATCAGTCCACATGTAAGGGAACATAGGCTAAATTGTGCAACTTCTGAACGATTGTAGCTATCACATTGGTGACCTATCCTTTATTTAGCTATTTTACTCACATAAGAAAATACTAGCTACCTTTCCCATAAATAGAAACATAAAACACTTGAGCTACTAGCTGCTTGCAATTTTGTCAACTATGATGAGATTACGATCTATGAATGTCAAGATAAAATTCAATATATGTATGGCTTTCAATTTCTAATTTATTATTGTTAAATCTCAGCACTAAAAAATTACGTTATTTTGAATTGTTTAAATCTGTTCTCCAAAGAACAGTAATGCAATCATGTTCTAACTTAACAGCATTTGCATATTATCAAATGCATAATGGCCCGTAATCTATTTTTTTCTCTCTGGTTTTTATTAAGCCCTTTATTAAGCATCAGTGGATTTTTTTTTAAATAGGTTATGATTCCTCAAGTAATGCTGCAATTAGGTGCTCAAAAGCAAACCATATAAAGGAATGGGCTATGGAAGTCTTCACATCACTGTTCAGTGCAAGCTTTAGGAGAAAAATATAAATTTCTTTATCTAGGAAATGTGTATTCAATTAATTTCAAATTAAATATAATCAAGAAATCTTGCCCTGCGATGATTTGATTTGCCAATCNTTTCAAATTAAATATAATCGAGAAATCTTGCCCTGGGATGATTTGATTTGCCAATGCTGTGAAAAATATTAACTTCAGTTCTCAGCATTTATTGATCATTCTTGGATATTTGATTGAACGTGTGAGCATTCTTCTGAAAGAATCCTGTTCAAGTTTCTGGCCTCGGCTCCAGGACTATTGACACTAACGCATGGATGAACTTGGAAACCCTGATTCTTTTGACAGGTAAACGGAGCCCATGAAAGGGCTGCAATAGTAGACTAAGACGGGCCTCCGTAGAAATGCCACGGAGAGGTGCACTGCGGGCCTTTAGAAGTGTGCACAGAATGACGCTAGGCTCTAGTAGACTTTATTCGTTTTTCTAAAAATATATAACATGAGAGATATTCTCTTTTATGACACTCGCCCACTCATGGAAATGACACGTTGTTTTGAATCTTCAGGACAAGGCCTTCAGTGCAGTTCACCCAAGNGGAAATGACACGTTGTTTTGAATCTTCAGGACAATGCCTTCAGTGCAGTTCACCCAAGAAAAGAGAGTGTGACACCTGCGTCAATAGG